TATATATATATATATATATATATATATATATGTGTGTGTGTGTGAAATACCTGGTTTAGTTGTTTTGTTTCTTTCAAGATAATCTGTTCCTCTATGAATTTCTGTACAAGAAGTGGAAATGAAATTGTGTATTGCTTTTAAACATTACCATAAATGAAACAATACCAAGTTTATTAATGTCACCTTACCTGTTGGACTTTGATAAGATCACTACTACAGTATTAATTAAACTATAATATAACTCACCCTAATTAATTTACGTGTTCAGTAATAAATAATACAGAGATGACGCCTTTTATTGAAATTATGAGTCCTACAGTAGAACTTCCAGAAAGGTTAGTATCCTTTCTTTTATGATCGTACAGAAAAAATCCTACCAAGGCCAACGAATCGTGTGATCCGCATGCACCGGCAAAAGAAGACAAGAAATAAGACCTAAAATTTGGACTTACACTTAAAACTAGCGTATAGGATATTACCCCTCATTTATGCACATTATTTTAGTCGTATATGAAATTCATATACACAACTAGTTTGATACATGTGTCTCACTAAGTTCAATGATAATTACTATTTGTTATCATTAATTAATGTGAGATGAATCTAATATATCTAATTGGCGAGAAATAATATAAAAGGATGCATAAGTAAAAGATTATAAATAACATGAGGTGATTAGATAGAAAAACGAATGGATTATGTGTATAAAGATCATTGTTAAAGACGTGAGGATGCAACTTTCATCTAGTAATATATTAATACATGGTGACAAGACATTGGCCATCAATAATTGGAATTATTATATGAGCAAAGTCCACCAAACCGATGCTCACTGTTAATTAAAACTAATTGATTTTGTGATGTGATCATTGTATTATTACTATATATCAATAAGCCATCCATCAGCACTTTTATTCCTTTTCTTCTCCTTATTCTCCTTCTCCTTCATGTTCTTGAAGAATTAGAATTGATGGCTGTTAACAGTAATTGTTCAACTCAAATCTCACTTCAGAAATATGGTTCATTTCTGAAATATGCAAACAAAGAGTTGATCTCCAAACGAAGCTCTGTCCCGCAGAAAAAGGCACCAGTTGGTCCAGTAGTACTCAGAATCACAGCATCCATCAAGAACAAGGTCAATCCAATATCTTATTATCTTTCTTTTATGCTATTAATACTCCTGCTTCCATATGCTATGCTTTTATTTATTTATTTATTTATGATTAATTAGTAAACAAGAACTCTACCTTTAACAAGTCCCATATGGTTAGAATTAGATTGAGTTTATTTAGGAACTTTTTGTTAATTGATGCCTATTTTGCTTGTAAACAGATTTATGAGGACCAATCTCAGGGCATACTTTGTTATGAAGATGAGAGTGGAGAAATAATTTGTGAAGGGTACGATGAAGGACCTCGTTATCAACGAATTCCGAAGCCAACCCATCATCCAAGGTACAAAATCTTACCCAACCTAGTACTTAACTCTCTAATATAACCTTATAAAAAAAAGTAAGGAGAGAGAAGCTATTGAAGTCCAAATTAGTTCTTAAGGAATGTTAGGCTATGATCTCTTTCTAATATGGTTTTACTATTAACCAAAATTCATTAGAAATGATAAATTTTTTTGGTTTTATACTTTATTTTATAAAAAATTGTTTGGTTACAAATTAAAAACATTTTAAAGAATTTTTTATTAAAAATAATGAATATTTTTTAATGAAAAAATTCTTAAAAGTGCTTTTAAACTTGTATTCAAATAGATTCTAAATCTTTCTTGATTCAATAATAAAATTTATATATCAAAATTTATGATTTTTATCCGATAATAAAAACAACGTCAATGATGTTGCTGATATTTCTTTTAGTACTTTGGATACTTATCTGATTACCGGGAATTTGTTGTGCTCAGGGATGTTGAAATCATGAATCTTATACAACAACAAAGTTGGCTCCAGATAGTTAAAGGAGAAGAAATCAATCACTTAGCTAAAGGTGTTCTTCGTCCACAAGAGGATTTAAACTGCAACAAATGGCTTTAACCAATTCCAAACCAATCAGGCTTTTGTCACACTCAAAGGCCTTAACAGAGTTGCATGCAGTGCTAAGATGTATGAGACAGGAATAATAGCACAAAAATATGCTGTAACTGGTGAATCAAATAGAACATGTGCTGTCTTCAGCACATTTTTCATGCAAGTTGTACAAATTGACAGTGGTGATGCTTTTTCTTAATTGGTTTTTCTTTTCAGTCTGTTCATATAGTTGCTTGCACATCAGAATCTCATAAAAGAAAGGGAATTAATTATGTATAACTCACAAAGCAAAGAATTTGCCTGTGGATCAGACAATTATAGCTATATTATCAGTGACCTTGTGTCCTCATGGGCCAAAAATAAAAAAAATATGGTTACTGATAATAACTTTATGGTCGACGGTTGTCAAAAAAGAATTTCACACTTATTATAAATAATTAATATTAGAATAACATATATTTTTATCTCTTTAAAGTTTCTCAAGTATGGTTATAATTCCTAAAATGTTGTTATATTTTTTATCTTCTAATATGAAAATACGTCATTTTTAGTCCTTAAAGTAATTTATTGTATTGGGAAAAAACCCAAGTCCCGCCTATCCTAGATCATTAAAAAGGGTTACCCACCATTTATCCACGTACCAAGCCCAATAGTGCTGGACGTGAGGGGGTGTATTGGGAAAAACCCAAGTCCCACATCGACTAGAGATTAGGCAATTGAATAGTATATAAGTGGAAAGCAACCCTCACCTTACAAGCCGGTTTTGTAGGGTTGAGTTAGGCTTAATCCACTATTCTAACATGGTATCAGAGCCTTTTAGATCCACTTTAAATGGGTCACCCACCATTGATGCATGTGCCATAGGCATGAGGGGGTGTATTGGGAAAAAATCCAAGTCCCGCCTATCCTAGATCATTAAAAAAGGGCCACCCACCATTTATCCACGTAACAAGCCCAATAGTGCTGGACGTGAGGGGGTGTATTGGGAAAAACCCAAGTCCCACATCGACTAGAGATTAGGCAATTGAATAGTATATAAGTGGAAAGCAACCCTCGCCTTACAAGCCGGTTTTGTAGGGTTGAGTTAGGCTTAATCCACTATTCTAACATGGTATCAGAGCCTTTTAGATCCACTTTAAAAGGGTCACCCACCATTGATGCATGTGCCATAGGAATGAGGGGGTGTATTGGGAAAAAACCCAAGTCCCGCCTATCCTAGATCATTAAAAAGGGTCACCCACCATTGATGCATGTGCCATAGGAATGAGGGGGTGTATTGGGAAAAACCCAAGTCCCACATCGACTAGAGATTAGGCAATTGAATAGTATATAAGTGGAAAGCAACCCCTCTCCTTACATGCCGGTTTTGTAGGGTTGAGTTAGGCTTAATCCACTATTCTAACATATTGGGTAACGCTTTATAATTTTTTTAAATATCATTTAAATCACTTTAAAGATTAAAAATAGTGTATTTTTAAATTAAAATAATTGAAATAATTCAAAAATTAAGAAAGTAAAATCAAATTTCAAAAACTCTAGTAGGACTAAAAACCTATTTTTTTCATTAATATTTTTCAGAATGTTTTATGAATATGTAATGTTTATATTTTCTTTTATTAAGTACCAAAAACCCATTGCAAAAGAAAAAAATTCATGTTAAGAGCACTTAAATAAGAAAATACTTGTATTATATTATAAAATGGAAAGTCAATGAAAGTTGGTTATGGCTCATATTTCATAAGAACTTGATTTTATATTCCGTCGTCGAATCGAGAAATTTGTTAATGGATTGTTTTTAAGTATTTTTAAAGTCCTGAGACCTTTCTTAATCTTCGTGAATTCCTGAGAGCCACTCATCCAAAAATGATAAAAGGAAAATAAATGGTTTTTGTTTAAGAAGTGTATGATGGGAAAAAGACCAAGTTAATTTGGAAGGGAAACAAATGATGGGGAAAGAAACAGTGGGCAGGAACTACTTTTTCAACAAGGGGAAGGTATGGCTCCCTCAAGAATTTTTTAAAATATCTTGTTGGGTTTCTTTGTCGTTTTATTCTAATTAAAATAATTCAACTCTGCCTAAAGTCTATGCAATCTGTTATCTGTTTAGCTATCACTTAGATATCATGCATTGATGTGAACACAGTCACAGGGACTTTGACACTGACATGCTAGACACGTATATCACCGAACAAATTTGCAATTTTTAAAATTTAATGGTAAGTAAACTTGTTCTATATATACTTGTATCCTATGATTATAATTTGTTACAAAAACAAATGGGGAATTTTTTACCAAAATAATATTTATTAAAAGAAAAATTAAAAGATTAATAACTCTGCAGGTTTATTTACCACACTAGAACTATTTACTGTGCAAGCTCGAATTCTGAACTTCAAAGTATTATTTTTTTTTTGTTTTTTTCACTCAGAATTCAGTTCTCGGGGAACCGAATTCTGAGTTAGTTTAATATATTTTTTTTCTCGTGTTTGTAGGGAATTTTGGGCAGATTTTGGAAGTGGAACGTCCCGTTCCGAAAGCAGAACGGGTCGTTCTGCTTAAAGCCATAGAGTCATTTTTTGAAATTAAAACGAGATTAAAACGGGCCGTTCCAGAATTAAGAATTAACCGAAAAATAGACCCATGAAACGACCCGTTTTAAAGAATTTTTGTAGTTATCTTTTTTAACCTGGAACAGACCGTTCTTGTTTTAGAACAACCCGTTCCAAAATAGAAATTTGCACATTTTTTTGAACGTGGAACGGCCTTGGAACGGCCCGTTCCAGGAGCTGTTTAACGAAATAAAAAGTGTTTTGGAACGGGCCGTTCTGGTTTTGGAACGGCCCATTCTGGGCAAACAGTAAAAACGGAGGTTTTTTCTATAAATAGGCCCTTTTCCCTTCATTTTTTTCATGCGATTTCAACTCACCTTCTCTTCTTTATTCCTTCCATCTACCCCTTTTGAATTACTCTCTTAGAATCACGTTCTTTTCCTTTAAACCTTTCATAAAATGGCTTCTTCAATCTACGTTATTGTTCATTCTGATGGTTCCATTAACCAATGTCCGAATGAAGGAATCACCTTCTCCTCTCCATCTGCAAAATTAGTTCGTATCAAGAGAGGAATTACTCTAGAAAGGCTTCAAAGAGTCATCCACACAAAGCTACATCGACAAGATTCTGAGAGGGTGGCTAGCATACATTTTCGGTACCCTATTAGACTTGGCCCAGGGGTTAGTAACTATACCTGTGTTGAGTTGACGGATGATGAAGACGTTGAGGCACTTTTCAATGTTCACGATTCTAATCAACTTCAATCAGGTATTGAATTATATGCTACATTTACTACAGTTGAATCACATGCACCACAAATTTTGCCTTCACGTTCACCTTACGAAATTTATCAAAGTTACCAGAACACTAACCCATTTGGCCCTTCTTATGATATCCCCTCGAACTACGACATTAATTAGTATTCTCCGTCAAAGTCGGGACGGGTTCAAGTATTACCCGCGGGTACGAGTATATTTGTCATCCCTATCTCTGATGTGAAGTAGGGACTAGATTCTTTATTAAAAAAAGTTAAAATAGTTTTTAGTTGTTATAATTTTACTTACTTTATTTTTAAGTATCTATAGTTTAAAATAGGCCTATTTAGTCTTATATTTATCTTTTTTAATTATTTTTAATTCTTATAGTTTAAATAGATCTCTTTAGTCTTTATATATTCAATTTTTTTAAATCTTTATCATTAATTTTTGTATAACTTTGTATGTTTTTGTGTTGATATGGTAGAGACTTTCAATTGTGTTAGGACAAAAAATGTCTTAATAATGAGAAGTCATATGTAAAAGTATAAAAGAAAACGATCAAGACACCTAATTTAAAGTAATTTTATGAAAATAAATTTGGTATTAAACATACAAAATTAAATTAATACTAGATCTCAAATCGATTTTCAAATTAAAAGATATTGAAAAAAAATCAAGAATTATTGCTTATTTCTTATATTCATGGACCTAATTATTATTTTTTTGTTTTGCAATAGTGTTATAAGATTTTATCTTACACTAATTTAATTTGTCAAAAAATAAATAAAATTTAGTTAAGAATTATTTGATCAAAATTTAGGAGAGTGTATTGGATTAGGATTTTAAAAGACTTTTTTAGTTAAAAAAATCCTGCGGATTTTAAAAGACTTTGTATGTTTAACAAAGTATGGAAGGTATGTCTATCTTGGATTAATTGTCCTGCCCCCTCCCTAGGTGCATTTTGGAGCATTTGAACTTCATTCCTAGACCTATTAACTAAAATGCACAGGTTGAATATTGGCGTACCGTGTGGTTGGTCACTACTTGGACAATGTGGAGGACAAGGAACCTCGGCAGGTTCAATGATAGCAGCTTCTGTTTTGATAGTCTAGTGAAAGAGATTCAGGTTCACAACTGGAGGTGGCTGTCATCCTTCACAAAGACTTTCCGGTATACTTTTTCACAATGGTGCTGCAATCCTGGTCTATGCATATGCAGATTAGGGGCCTGATGTGTCGGTGTAGGTGGAAGACAACTAGGATGGGAGTGGGGTGTATATATGGTAAGGTGATATCAACAACTGGGTAGGCTTGTTTGCAATCTTGTAGGGAAGGGTCAGGTAATGAACTTGTTTTTTGACGAATGGGGACGAGATGTAAAAACAAATCAACACGATTAGTTAGAGAGGTTGGGAGGGTAGGGGAAAGTTTCTCTTATAGGGTAGTAGTAGAGGGTTATGAAAGGTTTACTGAAACAACAGAAGAAGCGATAGAAGTGTGTAATTTTCTTTTCTCTTTTATTCTCTTCATGGGACTGATATGTTTGGTTCTATATGTACACTTTTCCTTTTCTCTTTTTGGTACCACTGATACCTTTTCAATGAAAATTTTCTTCGCTGTTAAAAAAAAAAAAGTGTGGACTTATAAACCTCTTCTCTACTTTTTTACATCACAATTTGTTCACACATGCGAAAGACATAATCATTGATGACAAGGACTTCAAAGGATGAATTTGATGTTTGTTTTGGACAAATTTGATGTTTGTTGCAATGAGTTGGTGCTTGGATAAATTTTTATAGGCTTTGGCTAATTTTTTAATTTTGGGTACAAGAAAAGTTTAGGTTATTTATAATCTGCCATCTATAATCCAATAAAAGAATAATGATTTAAATGTGTTTTTTTCCTGTAATATATAATTTTT